AAGCAAGACTGAGTCTGCTGGTGGCCATTCAGTAGCCTCTGTTTCATCTTAACAATCATAGGAACATTTATTGCACACCTCCTTTGTGCCAGGTATCCTGTGAGCCTTTTTGCAGACACCATCTCTAATCCTACAAACAAGATGCTGTATAATTTCTATAAATGAGAAAATTCCAGGAGGCAAAGTAGCTTCCTAAGGCAACAGAAGCAGTTGGATGATGGAGGCAGGATTTAAAGCCAGGTCTGTTGGACTCCAAAATCTGTATTCCTCCCCTAACACCACCTCTTCGTTTCAGTCGGATCGTTCTTTTGGGGCTACTTTACCCAGTTATCTGGCTTATCCACATAGTCAATCCACTTTGGTTATTGAGACAGCTGAAAACACCAGATCAATATGTTTTTCCCATTTTCCCTCTGTTCTGTTACAAACAGACACCAAGTAGAACTGGACCTCTAATTAACCAAGACCACATCTCAGGAGGTATGAACTTATACACCTTACATCAACTGAATGCAACACATTCTCCATGATGACTGGGCAGCAGTTAACATACCAAGTTGCTCCAGAGAGACAGAATGAGTTAGAAGACTTCACATTTATTCACTTAATCTAAGGAAAATGCTGTGTCTTTTTAAAGCATGCTTTTAAAAAGTAGTGACATCGAAAAAAAATCCAAGAATTGGTCTCGTGTAGATGTTTCGTGATGAGCTCAAAATAACAAGGTTTCCACATGTATCAACATGTGAAGAGCAGCCTTTGGGGTAAACCACAGGCTCTGATGTCTCTGAATCCTACACAGAGGTCTGCACAGCAGAGCCTCCCACGGTGGTCCCTGAGGGTGAAGGAGGGAGAGACCCCAGAACACCATGCTTAGAGGAGGGGTGCCAAACAACCACCAGCCCCACAAACTGGAGAGGCTTTAGCCACACCTCTCCCCTTGCAGGTTGGCAGCATTCCTGTCATACCCACAATCCCATGAAAGAGCTACAGTCTATGTAAATCATAATGATAAGACATGTGATTACAAGTTCAAGGACTCAGCACCTCCCACCCCACCCAACTTCCTGGGCCTCCCCAAGCGTACTGGACACATTGGGCAATGCCAGGCTATCTTACCCATCCAGTCTGGTGGGCAGCCACTCCTCCCCCAAACACACCCCTGTGTTAACCCTCCATGTCCTCATTGCTACTATGGATATCAGAATGCAGGACACTGCAGGGACAGAAGGAGGGTTTGGAGTTAACTGTCTTCGTGGGCCAGACACGGGGCTGAGTGCCAGAAACAAAATGGTGGGCAACCATGGAACACTCCTGACCTCCTGAAGCTTACATTCGGCTAAGCTATGGGACCTCAGGCCTCTTAAGCTCCCTAAACTTGTTTTCTCATCTGTGAAGGTGTGGATTATAATAATCCTATATCAGAAGGGTACTGATGGGATGAAATGGGACAAAAAACAAAATACAGAGAGCCAAGAGTTGCAGCTAGCTGGCACTGTCATAGATTTTGTCGTTTACGACTCTGCTGCCCTGCCCCCAGGTCGGTCGAGTTGGAGAGGACTGCTTGGATGAGCGTTTCCTACATTAGCACCATTGAGAAACTCTTTAGAAAAGAAATGTCTTCATTGCCCACCGAAGGACCCCATATTTTGAATGACGTTATCTACCTAATTGCATTAAGTATTCATTGTTTCCCTGTTCTATTGCCTAAGACATCAGTATGATTAGCATTGAAAAAGTAGAAATGTAGAAGATAAATTGGACTTCATTAAAATTTTAAAATTGTACATTAAAGGACATTATCTAGAAAGTAAAAAGACAACACACAGAATGAATGGAAGTGTTTCCAAATCGTACATCTCATAAGGTTATAGTATCCAGAATATATAAAGAACACTAAAAATTCAACAATAAAAAACACACCCCAATTTTAAAAACAGGCCAAGGACTGAAACAGACATTTCCCCAAAGAAGATAAAACAAATGGCCAATAAGCACATGGAAAGATGTTCAATATCATTAGTAATCAGGAAAAGGCAAATCAAAATCATAATGAGATACCACCTCACACATACTAAAATGACTATAATAAAAAAGATATAATAACAAGTGTTGGCAAGGATATGGAGAAATTAGAACCCTCATGCACTGCTGGTGGGAATGTAACATGATACAGCCCCTGTGGAAAATAGTGTGGCTAAATATAGAGTTAAATATAGAGTTACCTTATGACCCAGCAATTCCACAATTAGGAATACGAGTATACACAAGAAAACTAAAAATATATGTTCACACAAAAACTTGTACACAAATGTTTGTAGCAATATTATTCGTAACAGCCAAAGTGGAACCAACCCAAATCTCCATCGACTGAAGAACTAATTGACAAAATATAATATATCCACATGACGACAAGGAACGCAGCACTGACACAGGCTACAACATGGATGAACCTTGAAATCATCATGCTAAGGAAAAGAAGCCAGTCACAGAAGACCACGTAATGCGTGATTCCATTTATATGAAATGTCCAGAACAGGCAAATCTAGAGAGACAGAAAGTAGGTTAGTGGTTGCCAAGGGCTGGGGGCAGGGAGAATGGAAGTGACTGCTAATGGGTACATGGTTTCCTTTTGGGGTGATGGAAATGTTCTGGAATTAGTGGTGATAGTTGTATAACCATGTGAAATTACTAAAAATCACTGAATTGTATATTTTAAAAAGGTGAAATTTACAATATGTGAATTATATCTCAATAAAAAGTGTAAGAGAGCTGAGTAAATATTAATTCCATCAAAAGCAAAGAAATTGGACATGTTTATTATAATGCAGCCTAGCTAGAAAATCCCAAGATATGATTGGATTCTGGGGCCAACCCCTGACTAAGTCTGTGACCTTGACCAGTTGACTGAATCTGTTTACCAGGGTCTTCATCTGTAAAATGAGACATACCGTTACCTGGTCATAAAGATCAAATGGATAATGTATGTAAGGTGATTAGCAAAGTGTGTCCTGTAGTCGTGTGTGTGTGTGTGTGTGTGTGTGTGTGTGTGTTGGCTATTTTCATCAGCTCCCTGATGAAACAAGGAGAAAGCCTGTGCCCCAATCTGATGAATGAGAGGCCCTCCCCAAACGGACCCTCCCCTCCGGTCTCTCCCCGCTTACCTCGGGGGTCAGCGCATTGTTGTCTGAGGTCTGACTGGATAGCAGGATGTGTGTGAACCCCTCTTCCTTCCGCACGACAATGTCCCGAAACCGACAGTTGCTTTCGTTCTGGCGGACGCTGTACCTGAGCCTCTTGTCAAAGACATAGTCCTTCTCTGCCTCCAGCTTCCTCTTCACCGAGCTGTGCATGTTTAATCCTCCGTTGGTCAGAGCAGAGCCTTCCAAAATCAGATAAACCAAATAAGAAACCAAGCCAAGACAGAAACAATCTTTAAGCGAATGTTCAGATTTTCACTGCAGGGTCAGATGTGCTGGGATCCCCATGCAACTCTCCGTTCTGGGTGGTAAGAGGCCTGGGCCTTAGTTTCTAATATGTCCAAATTCAGAAGAGGACAGAGAGGACTCTGGGAAAGGCCCCATGCGATCCTTGATTCCCTCTCCTACATGTTTACCTGGAAGCACCCAGCTTCTAATGGGCTATGCCCAGGAAAAAGGAAATGCTGCTTTTAAAATTTATGGCCACACACACACACACACACACACACACACACACACAC